TCGGCGGTGAAATCTCGGGAACGGCGGAGTCGGGTCGAACGAACTCGACGCGCTGGGGAGACCCCAGCAACTCTCGGCTTGCCGTGCGAGCTACGGAGACGGCTTTCGGCCAGGCCAAGCGAACTTGGCGCGTTGGGGAGAACCCCAACAAATCTCAGGCTTGCTGCCGGTTTCGGAAGATCGTTTCCTCGAGGCGAGCTCTCGGAAACGAGCTAGGAACAGGAGTAAACGGAAAGTGATTTCCTGTGGAGAGCGATGCCTTTTTATATCCGAGATCGACCTCGGTATTTTCGGTCGGATCGGTCGGATTGGTCGATCTCGGGGTTAGCATATCTCTCCCCAGGAGCGGAAAAAAAAGGATCGGGGGGATGATTGGTTTTTTGGGTAGGGAAGGAATTCGGTGGGAAGGTAACGGCGCGGTGCGGGGTGGTTGCGCGCTTGTGGACGCGGTCGTGGCGCGGTGCGGGACGCTCGCTCGGTTGCGTGGCGCGGCGTCGGTGCGGCGCGGGACGCTTTCGGTGGTACGGTGCGTGGCGCGGTGCGGGGTGCGTTCGCGCTTGTTGACGCGACGCTTGGCGCGGTGCGGGGAAATACCACGAAAACATACGTGTTTTCGTGGTATTCTCCGACGCTTTCGGAGTTCGCGTGTACAAGTCTTAAAAAAGGAGACATTGCTGCCTCTTTGCGGCCACTGCCGCACTCCGCCTGATGTTCGGCGGTCCCCGACGGATGGTCGGTCGGGGGAAATCCGGAGGAGGGATGGAGCGGAAGGATGCGCTCCGTTACAAAATTCACTATACTAAATAAACAATATACAAAATCTGCAGCGGAATTTTTATGCAACACAAAATATCCAACTGTCAATGTAACTTATAAGCTGAAGTATTATTAAAGCATATATAAAATATTATTTGAGTACCATGTAATATTTCATTAGCATATACCCTCTCTTGTGATCAAAAATTGTAGAATTTATACTATGATATGGCCAGCACATAATCAGCACAATGTGACATAATAATTCATTTAACTATTAGTACTCAATAATCGTTCATTACTTACAATGCAATTATTTCAAGAACATATATCTAAATCGAATAGGCTTTACTCAAAATTATTATTCAATGTATCAAAATCATCCTATCAGCTATAATCATTATTTAGTTTTCATATGAAATGACTCATGACAGAGAATACTGAATTAATATTCGAGAATTAATATTATAAAATTCACTATACTGAATAAACAATATACAAAATCTGCAGCGGAATTTCTATGCAACACAGTATATCCAACTGTCAACATTACTTATAAGCTGAAGTATTATTAAAGCATATATAAAATATTAATTGAATACTATGTAATAATTATGTCTGTCAAAAATAGTATAATAAAAAAGGTATTTAATAATAGAATTTAATAAGCAAAAATAAAAAATAATATCGATATCATCTTATAATAAGAAGCATATGCATATTTTCATTAACCTACTACAGAAACAAAGAACATAGAACATAAACAAAATATATGCGATGCAAGCGATGACATTAATTAACATTGTAATTGTTGTAAATACAATCCGAAACATATTCCAATAACCGCATCATCAAATGTATGCCAATCGCTCAGAGACATACTCGCGTGAATAATCCTTACACCACACATATCTGCATTTAAGACACACGTACACACAAGAAACATACCGTTCCGAAAAAATAAAATAAATAAAAAATCACAATCCAGGCAATCCATGCAGCTAACACATTCCGGATAGACGGACTTCAGAATAAAACAGAGCAGCCATCCGATGCATCACACCATAGCATTCTCCGCCATGTAGCTATTCCATGCCATATTTAATTGTAGGAAAAAGCATCGCCATAATGTAAAGACACTAGATCACAGCATATCGTCCCAGAATATATTACTGTCCATCTTGTCGTTTAGCCATATTGTCTTTATCGCGGACGGCATTAGAAAAACCGCCATCTTGGTTGCCACGTTCTCGAAATTAATGAATTAGAAGAATAAACCAAGTGCATTTCATATAACTATCGTTCAACTAACATAGGCCATTGAATATCACTAATATTTTTCGGAAAAAGCACACAATAAACACGCAAAGTCGATAAAGAATGAATAAAAGAACAGAATAGGTGTCGGAGGCAGAAATCACTCCACGATCACTTGAAAAATCAAATTCCATATAATTAACAAAATAAGTAGTTAGGATTAACAAAAAGTATATCGTTACGTTACTCGTAATGTTGCGAAACTATTAATATATAAAACAGAACACAAAATTAAAAATAAAAGTAGCTCAAAGAACACACTTGGCGGAGCGCGATAGAGACACGTCCGCATAGTACCACGGCCCCTGCACGACTTCGCTTTCATATCTATATCGATCTTGGTTTTGGCTTTCATCACTGCCCAAATAGCTGCAGCTACAGTTTTCTCGCTCAGAGTCGAATCCCTCACGATGACGCGTCCTAGGCTTTATCGGCGAGTACCTTGTCCGCTACGTGTCTGTCAGCGAGATCGTTGCTCTGAGGATACGCAATGTCGTGTTCACGACACGCCGCGTCCAATGGATTTATGCCCGTTTCATCTAATCGATTCTTCAGCCGAACCCGGGCCGCAAAACTGATAGCTGGAAATATGTAACTCGAAAGGAAGCGCATTTATCGCTCGATTGAGCAGACCTCCAACGCAGCTACGTTTGACGTTGCTGCTGCTGACATACGCTACAATCCTTTATCTTAGATGTGCGTACGTTGCCACGGTTGGTTATAATGCTCGACACAGCGACGATAAGTTCGAACGTTCAAATTCGTCTTTATATGATCCGGAAGCTTGTTCTACACATGATCGATACATTCACCGCACGCACATAACAGTACGACTTTCGATATATATATTGTAACTGTTCAGCGCTCAAGTCCCAAATATCAGAGGGATGCGACAGCGCGAGATACATTTTTGGGCAACTGAAGGATTCGCGGTTTCGCGCGCCTATAAATAGATCGATGCCTAAATAACGCAGTGCGAACATGAAATTCGTGCGGCAGCTACTGACGATACGTGTCTCATCGCGAATTGCGATGAGAAAACGCGAATGATGAGGGACATCGCGACGGAGCGTAAGCACGATGAAATGTTACCGAGTATCGCGCCATCATTTGCGGTCGAATTGCGATAAAACCAATGTTCTCATAAGCTTGCTCGAAAGTCCGTACGTTATATGTTTCGAGAAATGTATACATATAATCGAAATCGCTGCAACAACCAAAATATCGATATCTCGAAACTTTGTTGACATCGATCGACGAAATCTACTTTACATTCTCCAACAACAATGATGTCATTCCATCGAGCGAGGCACGTCCCAATTCGATCTTTGTCTTCGATGACGTTGCATGCAATAAGCAAAATGCAGTGAGAGAATTCTTCTCGATGGGCCGTTACTCGAACGTCGATTGTTTCTATTTCTGTCAAACGTACGTGAGGATACCTAAACATGTGACATGCGACAATGCGAACCTGCTGATCCTATTCAAACAGGATAGTATTAACTTGAAATATGTTTACAACGATCATGTGAATATCGACATATCGTACGATGAATTCTGTGCGTTATGCCGCGATTGTTGGCAGCGCGAGTACGGATTCTAGTGATAGATAAGGACAGTCCGCTTATCAATGGGTGATACAGAAAAGAATTTAACACGTTCGTGGTATCACGATTAGTAACGCGATTGGTAACACGATTAGTCGAAATCGATACGTCAAGCAGGCAACATGGATAATATCAAAGATCGCGAGAAAATAGCGAAATAGATTGCGAAAACGAGCGATTCGCAAAAAATATCGCACTTTGAAAATTGGTAAAATAGCTGAAGATGTAGCGTTGAAAAGACATTTCAAGCCCAACATCGAACCTCTGAAACAAATTGTTGAAAACATCGAGGAATCTCAGCTGATTAAAAAAGGAGCGAATGTTGCAAAGAATATCGAGAATAGAAATTAAGAAAAAGAAACGTGAAGACAGTGATGACGACGATGATAACACTACAACTAACAGGGATTGGACGGATGTTGGATGGTTGAAATTAACGCCGCCTAAAAAGCAATGTACAAAACAATTGAATGCCACGTCAGATTTATTCACGTACGAATCTACACCGAAAGAACTATCGAAAGAACTGCTGCTGTCGAAAGAATCATTTAAAGAACCACCGAAAATATCTTTATACGAAACAAAAATGTTTTTGAGACAAAAAACGTCAGTGAACCATCACCGAAAACAATCATCAAATAAACACTACAAACGCAAAGAGGAAGCCGCGAGGTGCTTCGTGGTCAGCTAGGACCGTTGGGACAAAAGTGTGGGCCTTCTTCTCGGTGACGACATAGATAAAGCGATCGATAATGTGTACAATGTTTATTTTGACAAAAATAGTATGATGCTCGATGACAAAAAGTTTGACGTTGACAAAGATGACTCCATAATCATAGATAATGTGAGATACAATGTGAGGTACACCAGGATTATACGAATTGATCTTCAAGAGACTTTCCGATGAGGCTATATTCACCGAAGATGACAAACAAACGTATAAAAGTATACTATTAACAATGAATGCTCATAGACGTGGCCATAGCGCCTATAATCCCATCATGAGCAACAAGAGATATAAGTATATTAATATCATCGCTCCGCTCATATCTACATATAAGAAAAGCGGTAAAAAGGGTGCAGGTATTGGCAATCATCCGCCATGAAATTAAATGACAACAAAATCGATTACGCATTAGGATGATCTCAACGAGCTGGTGGATCGACTCCGATTACTCAACGTTTCGCATCGATCTAGTAACAACGCTCACGACAACGAGATGCTATTGATCATCGAAGAACTTCGCGAAACCGGCATTATTATAAATTAATCACGTATCGACGAAACGAGCCAGTCGATTGACGTCATTGAGGAAAAAAACAATTTTAAATCGTATATCTTATTTACTATTAAACATTGTCGAAACATGAGAGCCAATGGACGTGAAAAAAATATTAGCTCCGAGAGGTGACGACTCGTTGAGGAATTACACGCTCTGGCAAGGAAAAATTTTCCGCGAAGACGTGTCATAATTCGGGGATACCACGATCTATGGCAGGCTGATATCGTCGAGATGCGTCCGTATTCGAGTTTCAACAGAGGTCATCATTACATACTCACCGTCATCGATGCGTTGAGCAAATACGCCTGGGCCGTACCGCTCAAGAGCAAGGAAGCGAGACGACTAACTAAGATAATTCAAGAGAGTGAAAGATCCGAGAAACTTGCAAACGGATATGAGAAAGGAGTTTTACAACGCCGATGTGCAGAAACTCTTGAAAAAACACAACGTTAATCATTATTCCAAGTATACGCTGCTGAAGGCATCGATCATCAAGCGATTCAGTCGCACGCTTAAGAACGACATGTAGAAGATATTTACGCTCAACGTCACTTACAAGTGGATCGACCGCATCTCGCGTATCAGATTACAACGCGCGCAAACATCGGCATGACATAACTCCCGCGATCGCCAAAAAACTCGTGGACACGGTGTACAGCCGCGCCGAATACTTTCTCGCTCAAATAAGAAGGGAGAGTGTGCGTCACGGCGGGGCCCGACCACGAACCAGTCGTAAAAACTCGTAATTATTTTGCGAAAAATATCACCTTAGTCAGGAATCGAACCTGGATCTCCTGCTTACCGGGCAGGCATCTTATCCCTTCGATTACCGAAGCATGTGATGATATTTATCGCAAATAACGTGTTTAGAATAACACGTCAACAATACAATGATACACATATATATGTATATTACAATATACATATATACATGTATTTTGTCGAATACTCACGACCAGTACTCCAAAAAGATGATGGTCTTATTCTCTTGATGGATGCAGGTCGGATTGCAGCGGCGACACCCTCCAACGCCATTGGCAAATATACAAATAATCCTCCTGGAGCACGACAGGAGAGATTGCATCAAGCATGGCTCAAGTCCCCGAATAAGAAGGGAGGGTGTGCGTCACGGCGGGACCCGACCACGAACCAGTCGTGAAAACTCGTAATTATTTTCGCGTAATTATTCGCGCGACGATTCTCTCGCTAAAACAACGCTTGACAACCGCTTGACAGCATCGGCAAGGAACGATCTTCAGGCTGGAAATGTATGAGAGTAACGTCGAGCACCGCTCGTTCGTAACATTATTAAGAATTCTCGTCCATATAAATAGTGATGAAAACTTTTCAAAGAATCAACTATTGCTAACAACTCTCTTCGAGTTACACAATAATTTCTTTCGGTTTTACTTAAAACCCTATTAAAATAAACAATTACTTTCTCCTTTCCTTCTTGAATTGGAATAAAACAGCACCAATGCCATGATTCGAGGCGTTAATATCCAAAATGAATTTCCCTGTCTCAACTGGAAAAGATAAGATGGGAAGAAATCAAACATCGCTTAAGCTTTATAAATGCTTCTTGACAATGTTCATCCCAAACAAACCTACACTATTTCTCCGTCAAGGAAAATAGGGATTTTGCAATTTGCGAAAAATCCTCTAACAAATTTCCTATAATAGGAGCATAATCCCAGAAACTACGAACTTGCTTCTTATTCCGCGGAACAGGCCATTCCTGTACGCTATCTTTTCAGAGTCAGTAGAGATTCCTTCTTCCGAGACTTCATGTCCTAAATATTTAACTTTTTTTCCAAAGGGAACATTTCTTTGGGTTTATTTTTAAATTTGCTGCCCTGAGACAAAGAAAAATTCCCCGTAAATTAGCCAACATTTCTTCAAAGGTTTTACTGAAAATTACAAAACATCATCTAAATAAACCAGATTTTGTTTAATATCTGATAAAGAAATATCTGATAATAATGATGATTAATATCTGATAATGATTAATATCTGATAAAGAAAGAAGAAAGAAAGAATTCTTTTCATTAATCTCTCAAAAGTCGCCGAGGCATTATATAATCCAAATGGCATCACAGTAAATTGCCACAAACCATTACCTATTGAGAGGTAATGCTGTTTTTTCCTTATCTTCTCAATGAAGCTTCACCTGCAGTATCCACTTTTCCAACATGGAAATCCAACATGGAAAACCAAGAATTTCCTGACAATCGATCAAGAAGATCATTAATTCTTGGCAATGGGTAACAATCCTTCTCAATAATTGCATTGAGCTTTCTGTAACACAGAACCTCAACGTCCCGTCCTTCTTTTTCACCATAACCGCAGGTGAAATCCAAGGACTGTGGATTCTTCAATCATCCCTTGCTGTTTCATCTCTTCAAGAATTTTTTCCACCTCATCTCGCATCTGTAAGGGAATACGAGAATCTAGGAATCTGCTTAATACTTGATTTTTCTACAGAAATTGAGTGATCTATTACCGAACAATTTCCCGTTACAATATTTTCCGAAAAGATATCTTGAAACTCCTTGAGAAATTCAGAAAAACTTTTCTTTTGCAAATCATTTAACCCTTCCGAATTTCTATTGAAGAAATTCAATAAAAATTCAGGAATTTTCCTTTCTGGGACACTAATACGAGAACAAAATAGGTTCTCATCTTTTTTAGAATCGTCATTACTAAAGAGCGAATTAAAGATCCTATTCTGCCCGACTTTAACAAGAAAATCTGCTTCCAAGATGCATTCATTCTCAATTTCTGCTACATGCATCGGAAATTCTAAGAAAAACTTTCTTAACTCGACTTTTACATTTGTTTTAAAATCAATGAGAATTTCTTGCCTAGTTGGATATTTCAATTTTCTATTTCCCTACCCAAAACTGTTGTCTTCCCGGCCTAACCAACCTTTTATTCAGAATCGAAATCTGAGCCCGTGTCAATTTTGAACGTCTAACCTTCCTTGAAAACAAAAATTTCCTACTTTCCCACTTAAATTTCCGAAAGAAAAATTTTTTTCTCTAGCGGTATTACATTTCCGCGCCGAATTCTGCGTTACACCGCTGCAAAGTTCGGCGAGTTTAAGTTTCCTTTCCCTGAATTAACTAATAAAAGGCACTCTGTTCGGAAGTGTCCCTTAGCTCCACATTGCCAGCATTCGTTGGCTTCTCTTTTAGGACTGGAAGTTTCCTTTTGTTTACTATTAAAATTACTAAATTTCCCGCGATTTTGTTTATAATCACGTGTGAAAATTTCTCCTTTGTTCAAAAAATTCCGTTCGTGTCCGAACTCAAAACTAATTTCCCCCTTTCGATCTTTCTCCTGAAATTTGGGAAAACTATTTTCCTTAATAATTTTTATAAAAGGAAGATAGATTAACATAAGGAAGAATAAATTAAAAAATTAAATACCTCTTTAATATGTGGACAGTATCAGTAAAAATTGTAACATTCAGATTATAACATTGATAATACATAATTATATACTTGGTTAATTGTTTTGATCTCATATCTATTTTTGTTGCAAAATTATTTTTTATTTTAAAACATCTGCTATTTTCAAAGTCCGAATAGATACTTTTGTTATTATATTTGGTTATCTTTATTGTGTTCTTTAAATAACATTACAAAATATATTTGGCGATTTTTTACATTTTTAATATCTTTTTTTAAGCAGATATAATATTACATATTATAATAAAATAATTTATATAATAATTATATAATATCTTAATATCTTCTATCTTTATTACAGGAATTTGTTGCATAATGAAAAAGCGGAGGCGGAAATATGCATGGCGGAAGTTCTGCTTATAAACGAGGTAAATTTGTAATTCTTTATGTAATTGTATTTTGAACAGAAACGTCTATAAAACGTTTTTAAATGTTTATAAAAATTAAAATACTTATTCGTATTAAGGCACATAGCTCTGATGAGCATAACCTTGATGTATATGTTATATGTATAGACATGTGAATATCTTATATATTCTTTATAAATTGTTCCATTATTTTCAGCACGTTCTTTGTCATTCGGACGAAGTTGTGGCCGATGCCATCCGTGTTACAAATTCATTCAAAAAATATG